ATATCCGGTTTGCAGTCCAACAGCTGAGTAAACATGTTCATAGACCCTGTGAAGACCATTGGAATGCCCTTTTCCATGTGCCAAAGTATCTCAAAGGATCACCCTCACATGGTTTGTTCTATTCAGCTACTACAGATTTGCAGTTGTCAGCTTATAGTGATTCTGACTTGAATTCAGATCCAGTTACCAGGAAATCAGTCACTGGTTTTTGTGTCTTTCTCGATTCCCCTTTGATCTCATGGAAAACAAAGCAACAAAGCACTGTGTCTTGTTCCCCTGCTGAAGGAGAATACAGAAGCAAGAGAACTCTTATGGTTGTCTTATCTTCTTCAGGATTTCAGCATTTCTTTGTCTTTCCCTCTGTCTTTGTGGTGTGATAATCAGGCTGCAATTTAAATCACGAAGAATTGGTCTTCCATGAGCACACAAAACATCTAGAAGTCGACTGCCACTTTTTTAGACATCAGTTTCAGCAAGGTTTCTTGGTTCCCGTGCTTTTTTATTCCCATGATCAAGTTGCTGATGTTTTCACCAAGTCCCTACCATTTCCATCATTCTCTAAGATGTTGCACAAGCTTGGCTTGAAGAATGCTCTTCTAGCATCAGCTTGCGGGGGGAATGTAGAGATTGAAGATCAAGAAGCGGCTGATCCACCTTGATCATGTGAAGACTAGTTGTACATAATCAGGGTTAGTTTTGTACATAGTTGATACTATAGGGGCCAGCTTTGTAAATACACCAGAGTTATGTGCAGAATATGGTAGTTAGCTGAGTTGTTAGTTAGTACGTATTAGACGTGATCAACACGTATTTTGGTGTATATATACTCATGCAGAACAACTTGCACAGTTAACGAAATTCAAATTCCAACTTGAAAGAGTAAAGTTCTTTCTACAATCTGAAACCCTAAGTTCTTGATTAAGCTTTCAATTACAATAATTTGATCCATAGATTCAAGGAATGAGATCTACCATTACTTTTTTTTGTATGTGGTTCAATTGGTTGTAAAAAATTTCTAAAATTGCAGCCAAAACTATTGTTGGTTTTTAACCTACTAAAGACTCAAAATCTTTTAAACAGAACAATACATATTGGCATATTGTAAAAGATGAACATGAAGATGGAATAAGACCCGCTGAAATAGGGGCCTTTCATAATTTGATATAGCTTTTGAAGAATTTTTTTTTTGGACAAGTAATGCTTGGTTTTTTTCTTTTTTCTTTTTTTTTTTTTGCTCAACGGGCTTGTTAACAAAATAAAGATGGAATGATGAAAATGAAGGTGGAATGAGATCCGCCGATCTTCTTCACCTTTTTTTTTTTCGTTCAACTTGCTGTAAAAAAAAAACTAAAATTGCAGTCAAAACCATCGTAGGTTTTTAACCTCCTAAAAACTCGGAACCTTTTAAACAAGATCGTACATAATGACATGTTAAAGATGGAAATGAAGATGGAATAAGACCCGCCAGAAGATGGCCTCTTCTTAAATAGATTACTCTTTTGAAACTTTTCTTTTTGAAAAAGTAAGTAGTGTTTGGTTCTTTTATTATGTGTGTGTTTAATGGGGTATCGAAAATGAAGATGGAAAGTTGAAAATGAAGACAAAATGAGATTTGTCAGTTCTTCTTCTTTTATTTTTGTTCAACAGGCTGTCAAAATATTGCTAAAATAGCAGCAAAATCATCACAGGTTTAAAACCTACCAACGATTTTGAAACTATTTTAGCACAATGATTTTGACATGATATTAAGGATGAAAATAAAGATGAAATGAAATCCTTCAGAAGATGGCTCTTTCTTAATTAGATAACACTTTTCAATAATTTTTTTCTTTGACAAGTAATGTTTGGTTTTTTCTTTTTGCACCTTTTATTTTTTGTTCAAGTGGGTGTCAATAATGAAGACGGAATGAGATCTTTCGGTTCCTTTTTTTCATTTTTTTTTTCTTATTTTTTGCTCAACGAGTTATCAAAAAAATACTAAAATAGCCAAAACCATTGCAGATTTTTTTACCAACCAATGACTCAGAACCTTTTAAGTAGAATGATGTGGAGTGACGTGTTATTAAAGATGAAAATGTAATGAGACCCCTAGAAGACGGTCCTTTCATAATTGAATAACTTTTTTGAACAAGTAGTGTTTGCTTCGTATTTTTTTGGGTTAAACGAGCAATCAAAAATGTATATGGAAATATTAAAATGTAGACAGGATAAGGTCCGCATGTTCTTCTATTTTCTTTTTACTTTTTTTTTCTTTGGTTCAATAGAATTTCAAAAAAATACTAAAATAGTAGCTAAAAATATTAATGAGTTTTAACGTATCAAAGACAATTCCCAATTATTACATGTTTTGTGATGACAATCAATAAGAGCCATAGTCCGTCGCAATCACAGGGGTCTATTTTTGCGTCGTCCAGTCTTTACGCATTACCAGCTATACACTGCTCTTTCAAGAGTCAAGTCAAGAAAAGGTCTTACTTGTAACAAAGATGGTAAGTCTATACTCGCAAGATAAATGTGGTTTACAAGGAAGCCCTCGAGAATATATGAAGTTGTTGTGATAGCTTTCACTAGTATTTTTTTGCCCCTTTTTTTTTGAAATTAAGATCACAACATGTGTGATTTTTTTTTCTAATTACCTATTTTCCACAACACGCACATTTTTATCACAGAGGTATTATTTGAAAAGAAAAATAAAGGATATCTTTACTGAATTATCTTTCATACAAAAATTTAAAATTTTCCCTTAGAGTTAACATTGATGACATACAATATTTCAAAGATTAAGATCAAACCTCCATCATGCAGCGTACGAGCACAACACTAGTATATAATCAAAGGAGTCGTATCTTGTGAAATCTCAGTGGGTTATGTTTTTTCTTGTTATGTTTAATCTCAATCATGTGCTCATGACTCAACTTGGTTGATAGTTCTTGTAAATGTAATAGTTTAATTTCTTTTTTCACTATTAGCTTCCTTCTTAAAAAAAATTACAGTTCAATCGATTGGTTTAATACACATATTAATCTCACTAATTGTTTTTTTTCTATCTAAAATACATTCTCAAAAGTTACTTCACATTATGTTTTAAAAAATATCTATGATATTTAATTCTTAATTTAATTTTACACTTAACCATTATTTATATAAAGAAAAAATGAAAAGTTTATACAATAGTATCCCTAAATGTATATTACTTTTATTTACCTAATTAATGCAGTTATAAATGAGGATACGTGCAAGCCTCAGACGTTAGTTTTTTTCCAACCTATAACATTCTCGAAAGCAATTTCTGCTATAAAATATTAGATTTGATTGTATGTTCACAACCAATTTTCATTATTCTTTCCAATCTCTGATAAAATTCTTAAAATATCTTTTATGTCATGATATATAATTGATCAAGTGTTTTCACTCATCCCACAACTTGTATAAATAGATGGGTTACAAATTGCCCAAAACACGAATCAATAGAAGAAAAACCCCATTCTCATATTCTCTCTACACTTATATTTTTGTCTTCTTTCTTTATTATGATATTTTTTAACACGTTATCAACAAGATTCTCTAGGTACAATGAAATGGTTTATCATGGAGTTCAATTGTATGACTTAAAGTGGTGATGAATGGAGGAAAAAATAAATCTTAAAACTTTCATACTTGGTTTGCATATGAAGAAAAAACTATATTGCTATCAAGTTTAAGTTTTTCCACTATGATTGTTCATATCAACAGTATAACAGTCCATGATACACTGTTATGTTTTAAATATGAACTTTGTTGTTGATCATGTAGATTTAAAATCTTATATAGATTCTATATATTTAATCTATTTACAAGTAACCAAGTATATTGAAATGTGTGAAATCTAATATCATCAGCGTGTGGAAAGAAAAAAAAAAGGTTTCTTCAAAAATTAATAATTCAGTTTATGTACAATGAGATTTGTTTGTTCTTCGAATTATAAGGAAAATTGCTTTGCTTTATAATTATAAATTGTTAATATTAATAAAGATGAAAGTAAATATATTGCTAGTAAAAAACATAAAATTCATCAAAGTTGCTCCTGATGTAACAAGGGTGCTTTGGATAAAAAATTGTCTAGAAAAAGGAGTAGAGAGATCTATTGGACTTTTTTTTTGTAAAGAAAAATACAGAGATTAGTTTACAAAATCCGAACTACTAATTAAATTACTAAATTGGATTTTGTAAATCCGACCTAATAAAATAATATTTTTTTCTAGAAAATACATGTGAAAAAATTGAAATAACGGTCAAATAATGAACCGCACATGAAAATACATGTGAAAATCCGACCTTATATTTTTTAATAAAATTAAAATATAGGCGGGAGATTTGAAAATTATGAATAGTACAGGGTTGGATTCCTGAAATTCGACCTTATTTAAGCATACCAACCAGTAGATATTTGCATTCAATGGAAGGAATTGGTGGGCAAAAGGTCGGAGTTAATAAATACGAGTTTAGTTGTAGGTCAGATCAAAATCCGACCTTACTTATAACCTCGGATTTCACAAATCCGACCTTTATGTGATATAACGGGGAAACGAAAAACACTATTCACATATTGGGATTCTTCATTTCTCTTGAAGGAGGAGGCGATTTGAAGATTTTGTTCACGATTCTTCGTAATGGATGTCTTAAATCCATTTCACAAGAAGGTTAGTTATTTTTTTGTTGTTTTTAGACTTTTTTTTTTGTAGAAGTGTAGAACTAGGAATGTTTATAAGTTTTTAGGGTTGATGTTGGGTTTAGTTGGTGATTATTGTTGTTGTATACATGTTATTGAACGTTCCATTTAGTAAAATGTTTGAATTTGCCCTCAACTTTTGAATTTGTAGGGGGTTTAGTAAATTTAGGTGTTGATTATGCCTTGTTTGTGGTGTTTGTTATAATAATTTGTTTTATTATGCCTTGTTTGGGTATTTTCGGTAATAATTTATTCACAAATGTGCTTTAATTCATGTAATCAACAGATATAAATGGCGCTTAACGGTCCATATTTCATTAATATCTATTGGTCGAGCAAATTTGTTGTGAAGAATGTGATTGTGAATACTTTTAACAACTTCCCGGACGATTCCATTGTGATTGATCATAAGGTATCATTCTATCATTTGGTTGGATTGATTTGTGAAAGAGCTGAGTGGAATAGAGGGAATGTTAATTCAGGTCTCTCAATTTTGTATGATATGATGGACAATGGTTTTAGGCATATCGCCAAAATCAAGGACGACGCATCATTGCAAGTCTTGTATTTCCTTCCAAATTCGACAAATATTGATTTGTATGTGGATTTGGAGGTGGCGGGTACTTTTAGGTCTCATTTGGAAGTAGGGACAAGTAGTGTTAGGCCGAATATGGAGAATGTGGATTATATGAAAGATGATGATATCGGTGGACCGAATATGGAGGATGGCAATCGCATGCAAGATGATCAAGTGGAAGACGATGAATTCGATGATGAGGACTAAACATCGATAAGTGAACAAAGCGATGAAGACCAACCAATATCCGAAGGGAGTCGGGAGAGTGATGAAGAGGTTGAAGACAAATTCACCACAAATGACAGGCACTTATATCGTTCAGAGGGTAAATGGGATCATACAAAGTGGACAAGGATGAATTTCAGCTTACTATGTGGGATGGGACAACCGCAACAATCGGGAAAGGAACGTGTTTTAGGAACAAGATCGATGTAAAAATGGTATATGAGCGTGGAACATAGAGCAAAAAAGAGAGTATTATGTGAAGGAAAGTGACGGCAATACATGGTATATTTGGTGCAAATCCCTAAAAGAATCAACCCCTAAGGGTTATGTTCTTTTCGTTGGTAGGTACTTGCCTCCTTGAAAGACCACGGTTTGTGGGAGATTGTGACATGGGTGTCCGAGCACAATTGTATGAATACCCTCAGTTATTTGGTCTGAGAGTGGATGGTATGCCTGCGGAGGGGATGACACCTGAGAAGACTAGGGCACAGTGGATGGCGATGTGCTTTAGGTTGTTGCGATTTACACTCGCTCATAACATGTTTGATGGGAATAAGATTTATGAAGAGTGTTTAATTGCCGAGTGTGATCTCCCGATCCCAGAAGATGCTCCAGTAGAGGTCTATACAAAGAGGGCGCGTGCCTTAATGTTACTCCTACATGGCTCTTTCTTGATTCCTGACAATACTGAAAACAGAATACTGCTCTGGATCTTGTGTCTTCTAGAGGATTTGGATGTCTGTGCTTCCTATAGTTGGGGGTCAGCATTGTTAGTGAGATTGTACTTTGGTTTGTGTTAGGCTTCCGCGCCCAAGAAGAATGACATTACCGGATGCTATATACTGATGCAGGTACATTTTTTTGTGTTTTTTGTTTATTTATATTTTTTATTATATTTTTATTGGTTATTCTAATTTATGTCTTTTTGTTTGATTTATAATTTTAGATATGGGCTTGGGAGCGTATCCCAAGAATTCAACCGAAGATGAAAATTAAAGACCAGAGTTACTTGACGCCGGACGCTCCACTGGCCAATAGGTAATTACAGATTTATTCTATTATTATTTATTATTTATTCTTTCCTCTTATGTGTACTTTGGTTTTTTAGATTTAAATTTAATTAATCTAACTAGAATTCTGTTCCTTTGTAGGTGGAAATGCCCTAAATCCAGATTCCTTCTTCTTTTTTTTCTATATTTTTTACCATTTTTTCTTCACATCTATATATTTTTAATAATTATTTCAATTTTGGCCAGTTTCGGTGGACTCCATACACTTCCTTCATCGACGCTCTCCCTGATTTCTGTAAAGTAGGGACTCATATCTACTTCTGCAGGACGTGGATCTTTTGTTGGGCCGTCAGAGAACCATACGAGCCCAATCGGGTCTTTTGTCAGTTTCGATGTAAGCAAGCTAGGCCAGAGGCACCGTTAATCCATGACAGTGATCGTTAGAAAGCAATACACCATGGGGGCCTAGCGAACTGAAAGGTATATGATGATTGGGTGCTAAAACATAGCAAGGTACAACCCCATTGGAATATGACAGAAAAGAACATGGTCCCTCATGAGTTGGTTGATCCGGCTCTTGGTCCTCAGTGCAACAGACTACATGCTGTGGTTTCAAAGGAGGACTGTCAGATTCATCACTTGATCCCACCCAATACGGCACTCTGGCACAGGGTTATCACTCGTCTTCATCGCGGGAGAGATTTTATATAAGATTTATGTCGTTATTTTAATTTAAAATTTTCTTTTACCTTTTTCCTTGCTATATCTTATACTTTATTAACATGGTTCAAATTTTGAAGGATGAAAACCTTAGCGACGTATATCATCTCGCTGAATCCACCTTACGGGCAAATCATGGCCTTGGTGGTAGTCTTGAGGAAAAACTCTTAGAAATTGTCGATAAGAGTTTCAGTGCCCTGACTTTGGCCCCAAATGATATGAGCTCTCAGAGAGATAGTGAAGTTCTTCTGAAAAGGCCACCGAAGTTAAGTGAACATATTGTGCTCACGCAGAAAACATTATCTCAGCCGACTGGAGGTGGAAGGAGGAGGCGACAATTGGGAATTCGAGATCGAAGATTGATAGTTCATCCCAATCCGTCTCCGATGCAAGAAGATGATGGGGACTATCAAAACGATGAAGATTATTACATTAGGGATGAGGAAGAAGAAGGAGAAGAAGAAGAAGCGTCCCCTTCACCTCGCGTTTCTTCCCAAAAGAAAAAGAAAACGGGCGAGATTCGCAAGAGTGATAGGGTGAGTAAACAGGCCAACAAGTTTACTCCCGGTTCCATTAGGAGTAATTTGGATGTTTTTATGATTTTGAACTCGTTAATATTTATTAATTATAATTTGGATGATTTAGGAATTCGAATGCTTTTGAACTAGCTAATGTTTGTTACGATGTGTTTCGAATGTGTTTTTAGACAATTTCTTGCATGAAATTTGGTTTGGTGCTGTTGTGATAGGTTGGGATTGGTTTCTAAGTTTTTTCTAAGTTTCTGTCGACCTTGGCACTGTTCAACTGTCCTGAATTTTCAAAATTCGATTTCGTAAAAAATCTATGTATTTTTCTTTAAAATATTATTTTTTAATATGTCAAGGTCGGATTTTTAATTAAAAATCTGACCTTCTGTTAATCTTGATTAATGTAATTAATTTTTCGTATTAAAGGAAGTTTGGATTTTGTAAATCCAACTTAGGAGTAAAATCGGATTTCAAGAATCCAATCTCGGTATTTTTCTCTTTCCAAAAATTCGACTTATATTTCTCTATACTCCCATTTCTGAACCATTTTTTACCTCAAAACTCGATGTAACAATTTTACAAAATAGTATGTAGTTTAACTGATCAAATTGCTCTAGTAATAGTTTTTTTAGGGAAATTCAGGGCGATACTTTGCGGGAGGACCCCAATTTTATTATCATAAAAGAAAAAAGTACACAGGCAGTGCTTAAGAGTTACCCAATTGTGAAAAGAAACCGTCTTACAAAATTTTTTTCTAAAACAACACCATGACGGTTCCTATGTTTTTTTTTAAAGATACTTATAAAGAGTTCGATTGATTGCAAACCAGATTAAAAGGATGCATACTTCCCTAGTGCCATATTTTTCTTTCCTAACAATAATATATAAAAAGGCAAAATTGTTTGGTTTTTTGAAGCAATTTTCCTCTAAACTTGTAGTTACCTACATTCTTCAACATGTCTTCAATTCCGCCTTCAATTCTTGAAGTTACCAACAACAAACTCCTCATTTTGAACCTGATTTTGAACGTGGTGTTGGTGTTGTTGAAGGTGTTGAAAAGCAATGAGAGCTTGTAGAGCCTTCTCCCCAGCCGTCACCAGACCACCCACCTACCCACCATACCACAGATCACTTCCCTCCTGTCCCTATTGTTTACCGCCCTCATGTTTTACCTATCCCTCCGGTTGTCAGCGACTGCCAGGACTCCATATCCTAATTAGGATTTGGATTTTACAATTCCTTCAAAACACTTACAATATCGCCACCACTGCTCTCATTAATGTTTATCACAGCGTCGCCACTGGTGTTGGTAACACTTACCACACCGTGGTGCCTCTGATACGCCACATGTTTGTCCTCCTACTTCCTCCACGGCGCATGACATTGTCACAACAAGGGCCTCAGCGTTTGTTCTTAACTGCGGATTTCCTTCTTCTCAGTCATCTTCTCTTGTTTTTTGGCTGTTGGACTAGTATCGTTTCAGTTTGGGTATACATTATCCTTTATGTGTATACCGGTGGTGGTTGCATCGGGATTCTATATGTACTGGCAGACTACCGACAGGCCTCTCGCCTTCCCTTTCTACACAAACGCCTTTTTCCACTCGCAAAATCAATTATCAATCCCACTGCATCTGTTGTACCCGCCCTTTTGGGCCGCCCATGGCATATGCTTCTCATGAATACCTCTGATTTGAGTTTATTTCAATTTTGTGTCTATTTAGAAAATTCAATAGGGGTTTGAACACGCGGATAAAGAAGGTTAAATCCTGGTCTCTTTGGACTTCTTTTATGGCGGGCATAATCTCTTTGCTAGTCAACTACATGACTATGAAATGGATTTAAAAACCCATTTAAACCCTGCTTGTGTTGGTGTTGTTGTTGTTGAGGGTCTTGCTGCTAATAGTTCTGATGTTGATGGTTGTTGTGGTGGTGGTGGTGGTGCTTCTAGTGGTTTTGGTGGTTTTGGTACTTGTGATTCTGGTGGTTTTGGTTGTTTTGGTGGTGGTTGTAGTTTTGGTGGTTGTGGTGATGGTTCTGGTTATGGTTCGGTGGTGTAGGTTGTGGTGTTGGTGATGTTGGTGGTGAGGGTCTTGCTGCTGATGGTTCTGATGTTGATGGTTCTGGTAGTGGTAATGGTGGTGCTTCTGGTGGTTTTGGTGGTTAGGTTTTGGTTGTTTTGGTGGTGGTGGTTGTTTTGGTGGTGGTGATGGTGGTTCTTGTTCTGGTGGTGTTAGTGGTGGTGTGGGTTGTGGTGTTGGTGATGTTGTTAGTGTTGGTGTTCGTGGTGGTGTTGCTGTTGCTGTTGTTGGTGATGGTGTTGGTGATGGTGGTATTCGTAGTGGTAGTGGTGGTATTGGTGCACAAAAATGGATCATGAAAGCTAAGAAAACTGGGGAGAGCATCAAAATTTTATTCAAACCACGAAAAAGAGGGATGTGCACTAAATTAAAAGCGATAAAGGAAGCACTCCAAGAAGCTAAAGAGCAGGCTGTACAAGCTCAATGGCGGTTCTTATGCTTTTTACACTAAGAAACTGTCTTACAAAGATACAATAAGATCTATGACATTATTGTTTATTTTACAATTAAAAGCTAAAAACTGTCTTGAAATATTTGACGAAATTTTATGTATTAATTTTTTTACATTTCTTTAAGTGAATGGGCAATTAAATAATTTTTGAAAAATTTAGATGCTAAATCTACATACAAAGTGGGACTTTTGTT